GCCTTAATCTCTGTGAATTTTGAGTCTATTGAAGCGCGATTAGTCTAATTAAGTAGCAAATATGCACGCGCGGCTATGACCGGTGAAACGAAACGTCACAAATTCTATTTTTATCCTCCAAAAATGGGAAAGTGGGCGGGGTCTATTTTTATCCTCCAATCACAGGTCGGAGCAATTCCTCTGTTTAGACGCATGTCTGTCGACCGGGTACCAGTCTAACTCAGGATACCCACCCAGATGGGTAATGCTATCCCCCCGGGCGTGGAGGGAGGTTATCGCAACGTGGCAGCACTAGTGTTAGGATCAGGCCCGTCGGAAGGAATTTTAAAGTGGTACGGTTTCAGTGTCGGTCTGATGGTGAAACCTTCAGCGGGGTTCGAAGCGGCAGACAGGGTGACCAGATTTTAGAAATTTGATTACGGGCCAGGAAACGATGCGAGGGAGTGGGGGAGGGTGTGGGAGGGTATCCCCCTCCCTCGGTAAGAACTTTTTTTGAATTGGGGGTGCAAATCATGCAATTTAGCGCACTTTAAAGTGATTTTTTTTCATCCTTTTATTGTACTGCAGAAAAGGACAAATTACTCTTCATTAAATAGAAATTGAGGTCAAGCTGCTAACCCTAACCTATAAATAGGAGGTTTCACGGTCAGGTTGCGAGCGGTCAGGTATTATCACTTTCTTGAGGATAATATTTTTAAGATTTGCGCTTGGATGAAAAAGTTTTGTGGCATATATGCTGTTCTTCGGTTTATGTGATAATGCGTTTCATAATGATGGAAAAAAGGCAAAGTCACTTCGATGTCGTGTTCTTCCATTATAAGCTCGTGATAAGCCTACGATCAGCCTATGATCATGACATTTATCACCCTCCCACCTTCTCTCTTCTTTTCTCTTCTCTTTTCTTCTCCCTCTTTCCCTCTCCTTTTCTCTTCTCTTTTCTTCTCCCTCTTTTTTTCTTTTTCTTTTTTTTTCTTTTTTTAGGCTGAAAAGTAGTACGGTCAATCCCGTACCAACCGTAGCGGCTCTGACGAGCCTGGTTAGGATTAGGGTCAGGGTTAGGGTTAGGGTTAGGATTCATGATAAATATTAAACAAACACGTGAACTTAGTTTAGTAAACAGCGTAATGATTTGAAAGTAGTAAATGGGCGCACTATTTCGTATCACTATTTTTATCAAATTTTTCATAAAATAATGGTCGGATTTTTAATATCTTTTTAATATGTAACTTTTAATAGTACAAATTAATCTTATTACATAGGATACGCGTAACCTGGCCGCTGTCAAACTTGTGGTAAAAAAGCGTTACAGATTGTAACCGAAAATCTACTTAAAATGTGGCAGTGTTAGATTGGGTGTTGCTATCCCCCGGGCGTGGAGGCAGGTCACGTGATAACGTTGACGATGACGTTCAAAACGTTAACCCTAAAACAACACTTCAACACCGCCAACACTAACCCTGCCACTAAATATATGTATCTCGCCGCGCTATATATAGGCATTGTGATCCACAAAAATTTATCTATGGTGTGGGGACAGATATCATATGATACAAAAACCCTAACCCTAACCCTAACCCTAACCCTAACCCTAACCCTAACCCTAGCCCTAACCCTAACCCTGACCCTAACCCTAATCCTAACACTATCCTAACACTAGTGCTGCCACGTTGCGGTCACCT